CTTGAGGTCTAGAGAACAGAGATCACAGGGCATCTCCTCCACAAAGCTTTCACTGAACCATCCATCTATTTTCCTACCACCCAGCACATTTCCATGATAGCCTAACATCTTGCATCACTAGTATGCAAATAATCCCACCATTCATGCTGGGTTTTGGGGAAGAGTTTTTCCTAGAGTGTGATATAGATTCAGATACTTGCCAGAAGGACTTGTGTTCCTGGTCCAGGAAGGGTTTCCCTGGATCCAGTCCACAGAGTCCTGTTTGATGAGATTCAGCCTCATCCTCTTATAGGAAAATGCTCTCTCTTCCTGCAACAGTGGGAAGGCCAGGTCCCTGGCAGGAGTTCAGGGTTCAGACACCCTGGAGACTCCAACTGAACTAAGCGAGGAACCTGAGCTAATGCAGCCCCTCCTGCCTGCTAACTGCTACTTGTCACTCTAGCCCAGCTTACATACAACCTCTCTTGGAAGCCACCCCTGACCCAGCCTAGCTCAGGCCCCCCGTTTTGTAGTTGCGCAGCATTTGTACTTTTTATTCATGAAACTTATTGAGATGATTTTAATTACAGTAGTTGGGGGAAGTCTCCATCACTAGATTATAAACTCCATGTTGATAGGGAAGCATGTCTGTCCTGCCTCCCACTCTAGCCCCAGTAACCAGCCCAAGACCGTATCAGGCTCAGTGAATATTTGTTGAATGAATGAATAAATTAATGCCTGTCCCTGTTTGTTTTTAGGAGTTCATAAGAAAAAAAAAAAGGAATATGTAATTCATCATACGAAAAGACAAGAGCTCACTAAGCTTCCTTCTCCCATCCTGTTGGGAGGCACTTTGTGCTTGTAGGTGTCCTTCTAAAGCAGAGGCCAAGAAAGCTTGTGAGCATTTCTACTGGGGCATAAGCAGGCAATCTCTAGCCTCTCAGACTGCCAGAGAGAAATGGAAGGAGAACAATGTCTGTGTTCCTGCAATTGCATAGCTTGTGGCCTGTTTGTAAAATGTGGAGGTTAAGAAATCAGACCACTTACTCGGGCAGTCAAGTTACCCTCTGTGGGCCTCAGTTTCCTCATCTGTCAAGTGGGGATGGATAATAACTGTTCTTATTAAATAGGGTTTTGGTGAGCATTACAGGCATAAAACATCTAAATTGCTTAGCATACATAGTGTCTGACACATCCAAATGGCTCAAGAAACGTTAGCTATCATTAGTGCTATTATTAGTCCCTTTGATTGGCTTTCTCCACCTTAGGGGCAGAGGCTCTGTTAAGCTCAGATCTGAGATGGTAAGGAAGATAATGAAGAAAAGTGTAGGGGGCACTTGAACCTGGTAATAGCCTCTTTGCAAACCCATGCAACCTCATACTCACCTGGCACAGAGGTGCCAAATGCCACAAAAACAACAGCTGTGACAGAGTCCTTGAGGCCAATGGTGCAGCCGAAGTGGGAGGCCAGGTCCCCGATGACGGCCGTGAGCATGCCAATGATCAGAATGGAGACGACGAAGCAGGCCCAGCCACGGCAGTACTCTGTGGGGGGCACACAGGCAAACAGCACCTTCCAGAAGACCGTCAGAAAGTGCATGACATAGTCAAGGCAGGAAGGCAGCCTCTCCTCGCCTGACTCATCCTCATCCTCGTCCCCTGCTGGAGACAAGATAAATAGGCCCAGAAAAGGGCAGCAAGGTCAGATACCCATTTATGAGAAAGTCTAAGCCAGCATACCTCATGAGCATCATCCACTGGAAGGAGACTCCAGCCCTCTCCTGGGCAGCTGGTCCAGGCCAGCACCAGAGGACAGCTGGGAAAGGGGAACCGTGATGGTGTGTCCCACTGGTCAACTTGAATTGGGAGAGTAGGGGAGTGAGGACAGGGAAATAAGGAAAGAAGAGAGAAAGAGATGAAGAGCTAGGGTAGAAGAACTCAAAAGGGATGAGGCAGCAGAGGGCAGAAGAGAAGGTCAGAGCAGGTGGCGCGTGGTTGCCTAGGTGAAGAAAAGCTAAGTCAGTGGTGTGCCCATTCTTCATTGGGCACCGGTGGAGCTTCTCTCCCATTTTCCTGACATGACTGCTGCAGTAACCTCGTGGCTGTGGCCATTATCTGTCCCCAGAGGGGTGGCTGTCATTCCACATCATGCGGCAGACCAGAGAGCCAGTGCCATCCTCCAAAGAGCCCCTGGGACTGAGCAGGGATGGGCCCCGTTTGCCCTTGCCAGAAAATTGGGCAGAGGTGCTCATTTGTCAGTCTGGGAGGAGAGGATGTGATGAGGCCCTCTGGCATCTTTCAAGGGCAACCTCTGTAATGTCTTGACACACTAGAGGAAGCTGTGTTTTGAAAGAACCGGAGTCAGGACACTTGGGCTCCAACTGCAGCTTGCCGTGAGGAGAACCTGGAAGCTGGGGTAAATCCCTTCTTGTTTCTGAACCTCAGTCCTTTATTTGAAAAAGGGGGGGGTGGGTTTAGATTATGTGGCCTACATTCTGCTTACTGTGTCTTTAGGAGCAAAGTGGGGTCATCAGAGGGATGACAACAGGAAGTATCTGAAGCAGGCGATGGGAAAGTGGGGCAACAGCTGCCTGGCTGGACTTTTGCTCTGGCTCAGGGGCCTCAGGGATGTGACCCTGTGGGTTGCTATGACAGCAAAGTCTCATGAAAAGAGACAAGGCCAGTAGTGCTTGGCAGTGCAAACAGGCCTCGGTGGTGCTGAGAAGCAGTACAGGGTGTGGTGGTGAGACCCGTCCCATCCCCTTGGAAACACGTCTGTAGGCCTCTGGCACATGAGCTGTGTCACTACTGAGGGAACCTGTCGACAAATGCTGAAGGGGAGGTTNAAGAATGACAGAAACCAGACTATATTGAGTTCATGTTTGGTACCTTTCTACTTGCTTTGCTGAGAGAAGTAGCTACAGTTCCCTTTTTGGATGAGGAAATGAAGGCACAGAGAGAATTACTTGTCCCAGTTCACACAGCAGCACCAGGATTTGAAAGCAGAGATAGCCATGCTCTTTTAGTTACCCCCTGATTCTTTTCCAAAGTAACCCAGTAAAATAGGCAAACACCTAGGACTAGAGCTGGGAAGACTGGACACAGAAATTGTGTGGTCTTCCCTTTCCAGTCTTGCCTGCTTCTCCCAGCAAGGCCTGTGCCCACCTGAGGCCCTCTTACCTGCACTGACAGTGATGGCCTCCATGAACTGGTCCCTCCATGAATGGGTCCCCACAACCAAGGCCAGGTTTGTCTTCTTGATCAGTTTGTCCACCGTACTCTGTCAGGAAGATGAAAACTTGGAATCATGAGGTTAGAATGCTGAGAACCATTGAGGAGCCTGGTGATTTGAGGGAATGAGAGATGCCCTGCATTCCTGGGGTCTCTGCGTGAGTTCTGAAAGTTATGCATGAATGGCCTCGGGTGATATCTTCTGGGAAAATCCTTCTATTTTTCTTTTCTTTGGTTGCAACTGCTGACATTGGATGTTTAGAGTAATACAATAGAGAATAATGGTGATGGTGTCAATAAACCATGCTCTGGAGTAGTGAAATTTACTATCTTTGCCGTAAAAATACAGCTAAACAATAGTGATGATACATAAGGGCTTTATAGCCCAGTCATTCCATATGCTATGTTATGTTTCCTCACAGTATTCCTAGGATATGAATGGCCAGCACTACTCATTCCATGTTACAATTGGGGAAACCGAGACTAGGGTGGGTAAGTGATTTGTTCAGTTTCAATGTCACATATTTAGTGGTGACATTGAAACACAACTCTAGGTCTTCTATTTCCCACCCCATCACTCTATTATTCAATTAGATCTCACTTATGGCCTGACCTTGAACTCATAGGACTCTTCAATGATGACCTCTAGTTTGGGGTGTTCACCCAATACTGGCTTTCCCATTTCTGCTATCCTCTTGGCTTCCTCTTCCTCCACAGTCAGCTTCCTGTCTGTCACCTCTGCAACAAAACAAAATCAGACTAACTTTAATTTAGCACATTTGCTATCCCCTAGAAGTCTAAAGCTCAGAGTAATAGGAATGGGCAGTGGGCACAAAACAAAAGGCTCTTGAGAATGGGGATTTTGTGTATTTTTTTTAGAGCCACTTTCCAAAAAGTGCTGAACATTTTATGACCATCAGACTATGGTCCTTGCAGGCCTGGGGTAAGCATTCCTCTTTCCAGTTTATACTTGGAAAGGCAACCTGACTCAAAGACCTTCTGGGAACAGACCAGCTGAGGTTCCCAAGTCATTTGGTGAGATATTGGAGAGTTGGGAACAAAGGCCAAATAAATCTCCTGACCTTTAATAATTTTGAACTGTTGGGCCTGTTTGTTTAACTACTTCATGTAAGAGTTCTTGGGGGTCATAAACACATTTTAATCCAAAGGGAATGTCTACTGGTTCACATTAACATCTGTTTCCAACACTGTTGGGACCATCCATCCCCTCTGTAGAGGAGAAAGGAAGGATGTTTCCAGGAATATCTATTTTTCATGCAAGTGAATGTTATCCTCACAGTGAGAAACTTGGAAGGTTTCCTAAAACACTTCATGGTTTCACAATGAAAGATCCCCAGGATTTCCATAGGAATCAGGCACATTTCTTCTAAAACACTAATGCTTGTTCAAAAACAAAACAGAAGAAAGCTCTTCCTTTATTTTCTTGTGAGGCATCCCCCTGTGTCCCTCAGCAACTTCACTCATGTTCCAGTGGTCCCTTCTCATGTTGAACGAGTTAGAAATTTTTTCCACATCAACTGATGAGTCCATTTTAAGACCATTTCACCATGAAGACATGTTTTCTGGA